AAAGGCACACCTTCAGATGTACTAAAAGATCTATTTTTCCAGTGCTACAGCGCCCTTGTGGACGCTGGCCTGAAGCCGGTAGCTGTTGTATGCGATGAACGGTGCCAGAACGTGTCTCTTTTTCAAGCATCGTAACTGCCGAAAAGCCTTACGTAGAGATCAATGGCAAGCCACTTTTTTTTTTCCTTTTCAATGCTCCGCACCTTTTGAAGTGACTAAGAAACATGTTATTTAAATACGACTAAAAAGTTGGTGATTACATAGTGAAAAGTTCCTACATCAAGGAAGCTTATGAAAAGGACCGTAAACTTGAGATCGGTTCTATGCTAAAGCTGAAGGAGAAGCATTTTAATTTGACCTTCTCGTCAAAGATGTCGGTGAAACTAGCAGCTCAAGTGTTTAGCAATCACTGCGCAGCTGCAATGTACGCCCTTGTTACTTCTTAGCAATTGCCTGCCAGAGCTGTTCACACAGCGAGATTCGTTGAAAGAATCGACCGTCTCTTTGACAGCGTAAATAGCTCGCAGAAATCTGCAAAGACGCCATATGCCTCTGCAATCTGTAACGGCTCTACCCATGAGGAGTTTCTGAAAGAGTGCATTATGGTTTCTAAGAGCCTGCAAGTACTCGGATGTGGAAGGCAGCCACACTGCATTCGTGGCTTCTGCTTAACAGTTAGGTCTCTACTGCTGCTCAGCAATCACCTCGCGGTTAATTGCGGTTTTTCCCACCTTTTAAACCGCTGTCTGAACCAGGACACCCTTGAAAACACTTTTGCTGTTGTACATTCAAAATCAGGTGCAAACACGAACTCCACTTTCCGTCAATTTCAGGCTGCGTTCAGGCACCTTTTGATTAGCAACCTATTCAAGCTGTCGGAAAAATCAAACTGTGCTGATGACATGTCTCTCCTTGCTACGTTCCCAGCAGGCCTTTTGGCACCTTCTCCTCGTCTTGCCTTAGGAAGCACAGTTTTTCTTGCCACGGCAGACGATTCGCCTCTAAACTACCCTTTGGCAATAGGAGAGAACAACATGGTTTATTTTGCTGGGTGGCTGGCATCGAAATTCCTCAAGGTTCATTCCTGTGTAGGAACATCCCAGAAATATGAGTTGAGGACAGAAAATGCGTGTTTTTCTGGGGGAAATCAAGTGCTGTTGTATTTGAGTGTGAAAGGAACTGCCGACTCCCACTTTGGAATCCTCTCAGTTCCTTCTGCTTCTTTCATATAATTTGTTGAAGCTTGTGAGGAAGTCTCCGAGACATGTATCAACAACCTAATTTCAAAGGAGAACGTAGGGCGGACTCTTTGTGTCCTTTTTAACCAGAAGCTTTCAAAGTCTCTGACTGTATGTGACGAAAGTGTTTATGATAATTTGTTTTCTCTGATTGCCAGAGCCATTCTGCACTGGTTCGCGCGGAAAAAAATGCTGACTATTTGATACAGTAGCAAAGTGTAAAGCTAGGCAGCAAGTGCGCAGACTACGTATGTGAGACCACCCAGAGTACTTTTTAAAGCAGTGCAGGCATGTTCTATTCGAGCCTTTCATTTTCTTCGGTTTCTTGAGGAGTAATGTGGTCCTCTAACTTATTCACATATATAGAGTTTAAAGCTGTGAAGCAAAACTGGCTTATGAAGTGCAGCATACCACAGGGCTCCAAGAGGGTTTACTCCACTTGGCTTCCTCGACCTCCACCAAACAATCGCTGCGTTGCCGTGTAGCAGCACCAGCAGATGCAAGTTAAGATATTTTCAGCATTATGGTACCTTGCCCAAGGAATGTGTAGAAAAGTGTACCTTTTCTGTGTATTACAGTGGTGGCCTGAGTTGTCGTCGGAACACTGTGGAACCTCCGAGTTATTAGTGGCTGCCTATCAACTGTCAGCGTCCTCACAACGTCCAGCCGATTGTACAATGTCTTATGTTATAACAGTGTGCCTTATGTACCGATCTACTAATTTTCTTCGACCATGACCTTTTGAAAATAGTTGATACCGATTGTATAATTCTAGTGAGTAATCTGAGTGAATGATTGTAAGTGAATAAAACAAATAAAACGCGACTGTTAAAGCGACGTTGGACTTGCATTAGAGTTACTGTTGTGTATTTCATACGCCCAACACACTCCAGCAATTTGATTCACTCTTTTTTGTGACATTACATAATTTGCTTTCAGGTTTCTCACATATTTCCCAGGGTTCCTGAAGGAACAAAAAGCAAAACACTGCGGCCGGAGTTTGACCACAGTGCAAAGACACGATGGTTGTGACGAAATGAAACTACTCTCATAGCAGGTCGACTAACAAAGTCGGCTGCAGAAAAAAAACATTTCGAACAAAATATAAGAGCAAGGGCAAATAAGGGTGTAAACAATCCAGTATTCCAGTATAGAGTAAACACAATGTGTAAACACCCCAGGAAAAACCCGAGACTGCAGGTAAAAAGAACGACATATACACTAAAAAGCATCAAACAAAGCTCAAACACGGAGCTATGTTTGAGACTTTTTAGTGTATATGTCGTTCATTTACCTGTGATCTCTGGAATTACTTTTGTTTAATTTTCGCGCCAAACCGCACGCACGCATGACGTCACGTTTTTTTCCGGAAGTGTTGTCATTTCCTGTTGATTTTTTGTTCCGCCGGAAGTGTCCCCACGACTCATAGATGGCGCTAAAGCAGCTCCATGGGCCGCCATTTTTTCGACATGTGGGCTTCTATGGAAGCTTCGCTACCCATGTACATATACCTTGTTTGTTCTTTCGAGAACGGCTTTTGGTTTCGCGGAGTGAGTTTGCCCTTCTCCGTGATGTGCGGTTGACGAAGGAATTGTGACTCGAGGAACACCAAAGGTAAGACGCAAAGTGCACGAAGTAACTCGGTATCGGTTGTCTCCGTTTAACATCGCAGTGCTGTCGACGAGAAGACTGAGTAACTGCTTTCGAAACGCAGGTTTCTGTACCTGTGGGGGGAATCTGGCTTCGGAAATAAACACAGTTTTCGGAAAGATCGTGTTACGCTTTCATTTGCTGCTGCTCTCGTCCCGTACAAGAGACGTAGCGTCCTCGTTAAGCCTTATTGGGCCCGATTTGCTCGATTCGGGGCCGCCATATTGAGATGCAAGCGACGGAGGAACTTTGCTCACCTGCTTCAGGGACGAAGGTTTCTCCCTTTCTAAAGGAACATAGGTTACAAGACCGTTCCTCCCGTAAGGGAGGACTATCCGTACCCTTTTTTCTAAGAGTGTAGGCTCGCACCGTCACATGCGCCTCACGCGCTGCCTTCCTCATATAAAAGATTCGAAATAAAAAACAGTGTCTCGTACGTTATTCCTAAGACGACTTGAAGGCGAAAGCCCAAACGCTGCTGAATTAATGACAGACACATGGTTTACGGGTATGGCGGTACCCTTCCACCGTTGCCGAGGTGTAACTTTCGTTCCGTATGCGGCCGGTGCCCCTCCGCCGTGGCCGCCGTGGCCGTGGCGGAGGGGTACCACGACGGACGAATTAACAAAAGGTCGCTGGTTTTTCTGAGGAATATTAAAATTCGCAGACTTTCGTAACCGTCTTGGTAATTTTCGTGTCACCGGCGTGTTTTCCCTCAGGAACTACACGATTAGACTTATAACGCTTTCGCCTTAAAAACCAAAATAAGGCATTGATTGAGCAACGCGCGTGCAAGATGCCATTTGTTTCAGGCTTTTGCTTTAGAACAGTTACTGCTGCAAACGCCAGCTCCGAACGCGCACGCCTTTTCCATATAAAAGATTGTAAGTAACTAAACAAAATAAAGCTTTGACGAGCGAGCTCGCAGGATGTCATTTGTTTTAGGATTTTGCTTTAGAACAGTTGCTGTTCTAGACGCCGGCACGTGCGGCGCGTGGAACACCATTCCCTAAATTACCCTTGATGCTTCGGTAATTTAGTACTATGGCTATTCAGTACATTAGTTATCAATAGGCACCATTTCCAAGACCAGTAAACTCTAAGGTAGCTAATAAACGAATCTCAAAGATGTGCGGCCTGTACGACCCCTGTCCTTCCCCTCTCGCGGGGTGGCGGTCCCGCGGTTTGCGTCTACTTTCCGCCAGGTGGCGGTCACGTAGTGCGTGTCTGGTTTCTTCCTGCTCCTCGGAACGGGTCCGTGTCGTGTGCTCAACGGCTTCGCTTGCCATCCACCTTCAGAGAGTAAAATGGCTCATGATTTTTTTCGATCAACGTATTCACAGTTTCTTCGAGGACAGAAGCGCACGTCACGGAGGGCACGGCGGGACCGCAATGGCAACAACGCTAAGCCCGTCTATCTTCTTTGTTCAGGTCACGCTGTGTGTTCTGACTCACCACGTGCCGACCCCACCCAAGAATAAAGTCAGCATCTTGAACCCGCCGGCAGTGAGCATCAACTGCGCACACCCCGGAGCGCACCATGAAACGTCACCAACACATCACGGTTTGAAGACGGCGCCGCCAGTGGAGGCATATAAAGAGGATCGCGCCATGGAATTCCTCAGAGGGCACGGCGGGACCGCAATGGCAACAACGCTAAGCCCGTCTATCTTCTTTGTTCAGGTCACGCTGTGTGTTCTGACTCACCACGTGCCGACCCCACCCAAGAATGAAGTCAGCATCTTGAACCCACCGGCAGTGAGCATCAACTGCGCACACCCCGGAGCGCACCATGAAACGTCACCAACACATCACGGTTTGAAGACGGCGCCGCCAGTGGAGGCATATAAAGAGGATCGCGCCATGGAATTCCTCAGAGGGCACGGCGGGACCGCAATGGCAACAACGCTAAGCCCGTCTATCTTTTTTGCTCAGGTTTGTGACAAACATGCTTCTTGCTTTCGAAGCAATTATAGATGTATTGTTGTCCTGCCGTGCCCGGCCACAATTGAGTGTCTTATTGTGGATGCATGGAGTGTCATTTTGATCCTTCTATCTGGAGATGTCGAGCAAAACCCTGGGCCTCAAGGGATAGAGGAACTGAAGGTGATGATGAACGCCATGCTTGCTTCGCAGAACGACCTTAAAACGCGAATTGTTAACCTGGCGGCTTCCCAGGAAAAGCTAGAATCAACAGTGAACGCTAGGATGAACGAAGTTATGACAGCTTTACAGGAGCACAAGGGAGAGATTCGTGTACTGCAGGGGGAAGTCACATCCTTTAGAAATGACCTCCAGCTCCAACAAAAGCGCCTCGACGACTTAGAAAATAGGAGTAGACGCCGCAACCTTGTCATTTTTGGGTTTCCTGAGCCCGACCGTGAAACCACCGAAGCATTAAGAAGCCAAATAATCCAGGACTTAATAGGACAGAAGCTTGGAGTAACTGTTAGCTTGGTGGAAAGAGTCCACAGGATAGGAAAAAAACAACCAGACAAACCGCGGCCTGTGATAATAAACTTCTTTGACTATAACGAAAAACTGAAAGTACTAAAAAATTTTAATAAATTAAAAGGAACTACAATCTCAATCAACCACGACTTTTGTAAGGGTACACTTGCAAAAAGAAGCAAACTTTGGTCCAAATCTGGGGACTTCAAAGCCAGAGGACGTAAGGTAGTGCTGGACTATGATAAACTACGGGTTGATGACGACCTATATGAATGGGACGAGCAGAATGACTGCCTGAAGTGCATCCGCTCTCTGGAGCGACGGAATGACGTCGACTGACTTGAATCGAAACAGTTACGTTTTGTACTACTAAATGCCAGAAGTATCGTCAATAAAGTCCACCAGCTCGAAGAAATTATACTTACATATAATTCGCAGATAATTGCAATCACGGAAACATGGTTATCAGCAGATATACTTGATGCCGAAGTTACTCCCCCCACTCACAAAATAATCAGACGTGATCGTGGCTCTCGAGGAGGCAGATATACTTGATGCCGAAGTTACTCCCCCCACTCACAAAATAATCAGACGTGATCGTGGCTCTCGAGGAGGGGGAGTACATCAAGCCTTGATAGTAAAAAAGGAAATCTCATGCGTCATCTTAAGCGAAATAACCGACAATGAAAGTGTATGGTGCCAAATCGACTATTATGGGTTTTCGACTCTCGTAGGTGTTGTCTATAGGCCCCCATCTTCTCCCGAGTCATTTCTAGAGAACATTCAACTTCACATGGAACAAATATACAAACCCATTCAAAAATCATACTGGCGGGTGATTTTAATCTACCGTCAATTAACTGGTCGACTTTCCAGCCTGGCTCAACTGAAGAAAAAAGCTGCCACTTGCTACTCGAATTAATGCTCAATTTTAATCTAAGTCAGCTTGTTACTGAAGGTACTCGTATCTCCCAAAATAGCAATAACACACTGGACCTAATTTTTGTTGGAAACTTTCCAGAGGACACTGAGGTTAACGTTTACGATGGAATTTCTGACCACAACCTTGTTTTCCTTACGACTAATTTCTGCCCAGTAAAAAAGAGTCACGATGGTAAACTTGTCTTCAACTTCGCTGCTGCAGATGACGAAGCTATTATTGATACTCTTGATTTGAACTTCAGCGACTTTGAGACGGAGGGTGACATTACAACATCATGGAATGCCTTTACACATATTACTGGAAAGTGCCTTCATAAATATGTACCAAAAATAGTAAAAAAGAAACATCAGAACCCGTGGATAACAAGAGATATAATACATCTTAAAAAGACATTATCTAGGAAACGGAGAGCAAATCGTAAAAATGCTGATGTCATATCTTCCCTCACAGAGACGTTGAAACAAAAATAAAGACGGCGCGTGATCATTTTTTTGGAACAACGTTAGTAAACTTTATGAAAGAAGCGCCTCAAAAGTTTTGGGGGTACCTGTCGGGCAACAAGAAATCTATTGAACAGCTTCATGTGGATGGAAATGCTGTTACTGACTCCTACCAAATTGCGGACGAGTTTAACAGCACCTTTCATGGTGTTTTTAGTTCAAGATGCACTTCTGTAGAAACTATTGACTCAGTACCTCTTTTCCCAACAATGCGAGATATAGACTTGAACATCCACGGTATACGTCATCTACTTTTAAACCTAGATGTAAAAAAATCATGTGGTCCTGATGGCCTCCCAAATGCTTTTTTGAAACGTTACGCAGAGATGACTTCACAATATTTATATGTCATTTTCAAAACCTCTTTGGATCAGGGATGTCTTCCACCTGACTGGCTTTGTGGAAAAGTTCTACCCGTACATAAGGATGGGAGCAAACTGCTTGCTGAAAATTACAGACCGATATCATTAATTAGCACCTGCTGTAAATTGCTAGAACATGTCATCGCCAGTCACATAAGTTTTTTTTCTAGATAGCCATAACATATTAGCCAACTTTCAGCACGGGTTCAGAAAAAGATTGTCTACTACTACTCAACTGCTCTCAGTAGTACACGATTTCGGCCATGCGATTAATAACAGAGAACAAATTGATGCAATATTTTTAGACCTATCCAAGGCCTTTGACAGGGTACCGCATCACCTACTACCAATAAAATTGCAACAGGTTGGCATTGCTCCTCGCCTTGTGACATGGATCGCTGCTTACTTAAAAAATAGGGTACAATTTGTTGAAATCAACGGATGTCAATCAGTACATCTTGACGTGCTATCTGGCGTTCCACAGGGGTCGGTCTTAGGACCTCTCTTATTTTTAGTTTATGTCAACGACATAGCCGACAACATTGATACAAGTGTGACCGTGAAAATGTTTGCTGACGACTGCGTTGTTTATAGAACTGTCAGAAACACGTGCGATCAAGTATCGCTTAACGAAAACTTTTGCAAAATCGCCGAATGGTGTGAGAGGTGGCGAATGGTTATTAATTACTCTAAAACGTGCGCTCTCACAGTAACGCACAAGAAATACCCTCTTAGCTTTGCATACCACGTTAAAGACAAATGCATAAAAACTGTAAACGAGGTAAAGTATCTGGGCCTACATCTTAATTCAAAATTAAATTGGGAAACCCATATAGATAGTACAACCACAAAGGCTTACAAAAAGTTGTGTTACTTAAGACGGAAGCTGGGACCATGTGACTCGTCGGTAAAACTTTCGGCATATAAAAGCTTGATTCGGCCAGTGCTAGAATACGCGTCCATTGTGTGGGACCCGTACTTAATAAAAGATATTGGAAAAGTCGAGAGAATCCAGCGCCTCAGTGCACGATTTATTTCTTCCGATTTTAGGCGCCTATCATCAGTGTCGGACATGATACGTAATTGCGGACTCGAATCGCTCGAGTGTAGGCGGAAGATTGCTAGGCTGGTTGTTTTTTATAAAGTCTACAATAATGTGTCCGGCCTGGACAAAACCTTATACCTTTTGCCACCTCCCCAGCGCTCTGCAAGATTGAATCACGCAAAAAATGTGAGACCATATGCTCCTAAAAATAACACGTTTAAATACTCCTTTTTTGTACATACGATTAACGACTGGAATTCACTGCCCTCCGATTGTGTGCATGCCCCAAATATTGACTGTTTTGACTGTTCTGTTCGAAACCTTATGTAACCGATTGTGTGCATGACCCAAATGTTGACTGTTCTGACTGCTCTGTTTGAAACCGTATGTAACCCTTTCCTGCTTGGATGGTGAAAAACCATCTGCAGTATTTTCTAAATAAAAATAAAAAATAATAAATAGGTTTCGTCATGTTCTCACTTTTTAATATTGAATGTCAACCTTAGAAGACACAGGACCCCGATTTTATTGGTACGTTTAGTTTGAGGGTAACGTGACATTGGAAAGGATGTTGAGCGAGAATGAAACCGGCCGATTCTCGTCCAGCTGTTTTCGGGCGGAAAGAAGGCAAACTTCCGGCAACAAATTTTGTTTTGGGTGGTTGGGCTCTTTTAGTTCATGTTTACATATAAACTTCGGCGACCGTAAATACTGTGTCGAAATTTATAATTTAAAAAATTAGCGCAAAAGTAACGTGCGTTACTTTTTATCGGTAACGGTAACACGTACCTTTTATTTTGAGGCAACGTAGGTGGGTAACGCGTTCGCTTTATTTGCAAGTAATCAGTAACGTAGTTCGCTACTGTTTTTCTGTAATGCCTACAATACTGGGTAGGTGCTAGTATTGGCGAGATTCAATCTGAGTACGAACGTGCGTCTAAATTGCAGTGAACGAATTTGATCATTCATTTCTGCATGATTTTTCACCTGCATCACTGTGCTGAGTCTAAACAATGTTCGTCAGGAAAACAAGCGTAGTGATTGGCGCTCAGTGTTCCTTGAAGGTAGACTGAAAGGGTTTGTACTAAACCTTTCCTGATATTTTGGGAATACTATTGCTGATACCTCAGTTACGCGATCATCATATTCAGGCTGCTGCTGTAAGGACTAACACATTTGGCACGCCTTGCGAAATTCGAATTCGAAACTTACAGACTTGAAATTGGGCACAAAAAAAGAGAGTTTTGATTGTTTTTTTTTTCAGTGCTAAAGTCGCATATATGCTCCGTTTCACCTTCAGTCCGAGCGCAGTGGACGCCACGAGCCATCCCAGCCGATCCAGCGCCGGGAGAAAGTCGCGTGACCTGCCGGTGGGGCGGGGCAACACAGGGAGCTCAAGGACGCATAACACTCCCTCAACGCCGCATTGGCTGGGATGGCTCCTAGCGTCCGCTGTGCTCGGACGGAAGGTGAAACGGAGTATAGTAATATTAAAAATAGAGCAAAAATGGCGATTTTACCTATGCCCTATACCGGATGTGCGTCACGGTCACACTAGATGTGAGCTTGATCCCAGGTCGTTATTGTTCATATATATTTTTTAAATGTATTAATTATCGCGATGATCTTGCTTATCACCAGCCTCCGCCATTGATTTTCGCGATTTTGTTTTCAGCAAGCCACCCGGGAGAGAGCTCATGAACCAATATGCAGACGAGAAACAGGTTGGTATAGGGACATGGACGGCTTCTGATTTTGATTTATTTTTAAAACTTCACTACCTCAAAATAGAGCTCTGGAAAAAAAAATGACAAAAATACTTGCTAAATCAAGTTCGCATGCCGAATTCCAGGTATGCACGTTTCGAATTCGGATTTTGCAAAGCGCGTCAAACATGTTCGTCCTTAAGGCCGCACCCTGTATATTGTAAAACGTGTTTCGTAAGCTATATTTTATGCCATTTTATGGTATATTATAGCGACAAGATACAAATTTCATGATTTTATGCGCTGCAGTTCATTCCTTAGTTCAATAGCGCAGCTACGATTCAGCTTTTAATACTCCGATGCAAAGTTGCACCAATCACGGGTATTTTAGGCAACCTACCAGACTTCGGGAAAACCTTTCGATTCAGGTAAAATATACCGTGTTTTTGAGCGAAGACTGACAAAAATTCCGAACATTTTCGTATTCCAGGTAAAAATATAGTTTTCTAGGGGCCGCATTACTCGTGGTGGCGGATGCCAGAAAATGCGCGATAGTTATAGTTAGATCCCTTAATAACTAAAATTACTAATTCACTTTTTAATCACTGAAAATGGCCTTATGGTTCCAAATTCCAATAAGAAACTTGCAGAGCGTCATCAAAAAAACTAAATCAGTAATTTTCAGAAAAACTTTGAGAACGTGGAAACCGTACTAGTGCACCAAATTTACCACTCGTGGAACAGGTACAAGGCTGGGGCTGTGATAAGAGTTACTAAAATCCCCTGGGCGGCCTTATCGCAACCGCTAGCCTTCTACTTGTACCACAAGTGGTAACTTTAGAGCAAAATACGCTTCT